AGGCTCGCTCACCCATGTTTAAGCTCGATATGCGGCTGAGAATTGTTTCATGAGCTGCATTGTCAAATGCTTTCTTGAGATCCAGACCGAGTATGGCTCGTGTGGATCTTGTGGGGTAGTCTATGATTTGGTGTTTAATCTGTAGCATGGCGTTTTGGGTGGCTAGGTGACGACGGAAGCCTATCATCGTGTGTGGGTAGTACTCACCATCCTCAAGATAGTTGTTGGCTCTATTTAATAATGCATGTTCCATCACTTTTGTTATGCATGACGTTAATGAGATGGGTCGGAGATTTACTTTGTTGATTGGCTTTCCAGGTTTTGGTATAAGGATTGTTCTAGCCTCTTTCCACGCGTCGGGTATTTTCCCTTCTGTCCAACATTTGTTTATATATCCAGTTAAAAATTCCATGGATTCACTGTCCAGGTTACGTAATGCTCGGTTGGTGACTCCATCGGGTCCGAATGCTGATTTTACATTTAATTTGTGGAGCACCGCTCTAATCTCTGCTACCTCAAAGTTTTTGTCCACGTTGGGGTTGGCTTCGACTGTATAGTTTTTATGTTGTAGTGGCAGCGATTTTGGCATGTAGATGTTTTGTAGATCCATCATCAGCTGTTCCTCGTTTCCTTCGTATTCACGTGTGAGACGACGGATAGTGTGTCTCTGTTCAGTTTTGGTGTTGGTGGGATCTAAAAGAAACCTTAGCAATATCCACGTTTGTGATGTTCCAATTTGGGTGCCCATGTCCTTACATATCTCCGCCCATTGTTGCTCACACAGCTGCTTGCAGTGACTTTCAATGTCTTTATTGAGCTGTGCTATCTTTTTCCGGATTGTTGTGTTGTGTCTTTGCCTCCGCCATTTGTGTTGTAACGCTTCTTTAGTTCGCCACAGGTGGATTAATCTGTTATCGATGCGCTCGAACTGGGATATCTGTTTCTACTTCATGTGTGGCTTTCCTGACTGTGTCTATTATGCTCTCGCACCATTGCTGGATATCGTCAGGATGTTCGGTAATCGTTTTTCTGATATCCCGAAATTTATCCCAGTCAACTAGATGTCTCGTGTTACATATGGTCGTAATCCTGTCGATATCGGTGAATGGTACGCGTGTTTCGAGTATGCGATGGTACACTTCCTAAATCATCGAATGTGTTGTGCCATGTAGCCCCCGGGGCATTCTTGGTTATTGTAAGATCCGGTGTTGTGTCTCGCTGGATGCTTGTACCTATGCGTGTGTGTGCATGCGGGTCTGTTATCAGAGTAAGCTGTTCATTTGGTATGCTCTGCCATAACCTTTTTCCCTTTGGGGGTGGTGTAACCATACCCCCATGCCTCATGTGCGGCAGTTGAAGTCCCCTGCTATGATGAGCGGGGCGTTGTCAACTAATATCACGGATTGCCTAAATAGAGAGTGAAATTGCTGTCTGTGATTTTACGGACTGCTATATACGTTAATAAATGTGCTGCTCCCTTTTGTTTTCCTAGATAGAAGTTCTGTCATTATATGGATGTATCCACATTCTAGATTATGGATTCTGACCGTAATCTCTCTCCTTACTAGTGTAGTGAGAGCTTTATTTCCTTCTTCATGCTCGAGACTTACTGACTGGTATCCTGGTAGTGTGGAGAGGCCATGGGTTTCTTGAAGTAAAATAACATCTGCCTTGTTACCTTGTCAGATGTACAGCTGGATGACAGATTTCTTAGCCCTGAATCCTCTACAGTTCCATTGTCATATGCGGAGTTGTCCTTTACCACGCCTAACCATCGCTGTTCGTTATTTGTGTGGAAGGCGTGAAAATAGGTGGGTGGATGAGAGGGGTTGGTGGTTTTATGGAAGTTGCCTGCAGGGGATATGATGCCTGCGGTTGTTGGTGAACGTTCGCGACTACGCCCTGAAGGTCTGCGGATGTTTTTGGGTTGCATCCTCGTTCCAGCATTTCTACCCTGGCTGCTAGTGCTGTCAGATCAACAGACGTCTTAGTGGTGGTTTCCAGGATAGATTGGAACGCGGTTAATAGCTGGTCTACTTTTTCTCAATGTTATCCAGCCTTGTTTGTTGCGAGATGCTTTCTTATTTAGTGCTTGGGGGATCTGTAGTTTTCTGCGTTCTGGCCTTTCGTTTTAACGGAGGGGTAGTTACCTCCATGCGATTGTCGGCTATGGGTGTTCCCTCCTGCATTACAGTATTAGTTATATTAGGGCTTCTGGGTTTGCCGCATTCGCGTTCCATAGTGAGGAGTTCTATTTGAGCTTGCATCTGTTCTATCATTTCTTTCATTCGTCTGTTTTCATCTTTAAGCTGCTCAACTCTTGACTGTTGTTGTTATTTCTACCATTATTATTTTTAACTTCCTGAGGTCCCTCCGGTCGCAAGCCGCATACTCTATCTGCCCAGCTCACCTTGTTTGTTGGTCCCTTAGACGCCGATCCCGACCTGGAACTGGGGTGGGAGCTTGCAGGGCTGCGGTTCCTTGAACCGGAGCGGGATCTTGTTTGCTGTTGTTGTCCGGGTCTCGATGTCGAGCGCTCTCGTGGACGTCCTCTTGGTGGAGATGAGCTTTGCCTTTGACGTTCTCGTAGTCTGGCCCATTGTCTCTGTTTTACAATGTTTTTTGAACCTGGCCGTGCAGTTTTTATCGAATGTAACGTGGTCTTTTCCACAGATTTGACAACTAGGGTCGCATCTGTGGTCGTCTTTGGGGTTGTGAATGCCGCAACCAGCACAAAGTTTATCTTGGGGGTTGGGGCACACATCACTTCTATGTCCCTATCTGTTGCACTGCTTGCAGTAGTCAATTTGCTTGCGGTATAGCGTGCACGGTATTATTACTCCATCATGGCACACACTGGAGGGTACCTTGTTTCCACTGAAGAGCACAATGACCGCTGTAGTATTCCCCAGTCGTTTCGCTGTGATAATGCTGGGTTTTTTTTCAGTGACAAGGGCCGCCCTAATGCTACCGGGCGTTTCTTCCAGTGGGATTCCTTTAATAATACCGTATTTACTCGATTCTACCGCGCCCTCGATTGTAACGCGCACCCGATTTCCACCACGAAAAAAAAAAAAAAAAAAAAAAAAAACTTAAGACATCGATTGCAACGCGCACCCATTTTTCTCGCTGGCCCGCACGATCACACCACTCGAAAAAACGACTCCTTTCGGGAGCGTCTTGCGTTTATATATGAGGTACGGGCGAAGCTTGTGCCCATCTGACGTATTACAGAGCATTGCCGTCACTGTTGTTTTACCGTGGACCGATGTCAGCACGCGAACTTGCTTCGCCTCCTTCTTCTCGACGGTTGTGGTGCCAGGCATGTCGAAGTAAAGAGGCGTCTGATTGGCATTCCCTATTTGCCCAAGCAGGTAGCCGTTGTTGCGCCGCAAGTTTAGGACGAACCTCTGAAAACTGTGAAGCTTTTCATCGTACTCCTCCGCAAAAGTTTTCGCATATGCATTTTCCCCTTCGGAAAGGAAAGCCTTTCCTCTTCATAAAGTTAGTTAGCCAGCACCTGCTCGCTTTAAACTGGCTCCGCATTAGACCTTTTTCTAAGACTAATTGCATAGCCCGCACTTGGAGCAGTTCTGTCGTCACGGGCCGCTGTGCCGCTCGCTGCTCAAGCACATACTCGCCGAGCAGCTCTTTAATTTGCGGAAACCGACCCTGCTGTGGTCCACTGAAGCCTTTGCGTGAAGCTTTGCTGTCGACAATCTTCTGCTTTTGTTTCCGCCGGTCCCGCACGGACGTTTCGGGAACTCCGAACGACCGCGATGCGGCCCGATTTCCGTCCGTTTCTGCACACGCGATGACTTTTCTTTTAAAAGCGGCATCGTGGTGCACTCAGGTTTTTGGAGTCGGCCCTTCCACGCCGTCGATGCTAATGCACTACTAGATGACGAACTCCTCAGCACATGTACGAAGTGCCGCACATGGGAAACACATAGGCAGAAATGGCCGACGCGCCATGCCGACGCAGGTAGGGGGCGGCCATTTGGATTTGCCCATGGCAATAGATTGACCGTAATTTTTTTGTTCGTACTCGATTCTAACGCGCATGCGATTTATGAACTCGCTTAACCGGAAAAAAGGTGCGCGTTAGATTCGAGTAATTACAGTACCATTGGCTGTATCTTCTGGCGCTGTTTCATACGCTGCCACTTCATATTCTTTGCCACGTATAAGTATTTTCTTGATTTTTCTGTAGTGGTCAGCTCGGTCGGGGTCTGGTGTGCTCACTATCATGATGTTCTGTGTCTTGTTGGGGCATATCACGTCGAAGTGCCGGACTTCTGGTGGTGTAGCCGCGGCTTCATGTATGCCTCTGGTTATATCGGTTGGGCCGAGTGCGGCTACGCGTAAGCCTCCTCTCGGTCGGATGACAATTTTGTAGTCTCCCGCTGGCAGCTTGGGCATTCTGCTCGCTTTTTCGATGCGGCTCATCCGTCTTTCCTGCGTTTTGGCTTGCGTGTTACGAAAACCGGGTTCTACCTTGTTGTTAGCACCATGGACGCCATCAGCGTCTCTGACCGATTCATGTCCGGGCTTTCAACGACGCCCGTAGTAGACGGTGTGCCAGGCTTCTTCACTCTCAGTAGTGGCTGGCGATTCATCATCATTGTGTTGTACGTCCATCGTCCTCGAATAAGCCGCATTGTCTTGCGCGTCGCCTGCCGACGCGGTGGATTCCATTGGGTTTACAGCGCAGGCTCCCTGAGGAAACCGGCCTGTTTCGCGAGGCTTAACAGCGTCTCGTGCGGTGTGCACCGAGAAAAGGCAGTAAAAAGACGAAAAACAGTTGGTCCACCTTGTCTTTGGTATCCTGAGAATCTGGATGACGAGGCGCATCTTCTGATATCACCCTGAGAAATGCACAGTGGTGATTTTCACAGCGAAGTTGTTCATGAAAGCAGGAGCCGACGTGAAGCGCGTCTGCACTCGTCGGTGCTCGCAGTGTCTCCAAGAAAAATGCAAAAGAAAGTTTTAGTACTTACAGCTAGGTGCTTGGAATTTGATAGAGTGGAGCTTCACGGGCTGTGTGAATCCCAGAGAAATTATGAGCTGCGATAAAATAATATAAAGTGAAATTAGCAAGAACCTGGTGACAAAAACAAATGAACGCTTGTTTGAACTGTAAGACAAACATGGCTCGTACTTATGCAGTAGACATTCTGTTCGTGCTTAGAACAGAGATGTTAAACAGCATGAGAACAGACATCAACGTGCAAAATTCATTCTTACCCTGCCGCCTTCCCCAACGAAGTTTTACATCATGAATGGCTGGAAATGTTCTGCTGGGAAAAATTTCACATTACAAGGTCTCTTTGTAAGCTACATGAGCTAAGTATTTACATTGTAATGAATACCTGCGGATGATGGAGTCCTGGAAAGTTTGTAGAGGTTATTTGTACTGTATTCTGAATGTGTTGTAGTTTGTGTAACGCGAGTCTGAATAAAGTAAAGTTAACAAGAAGAGAACTTGCAGCTTTCGTGTACGATACTTCGAGCGTAGCATCTTCTTTGCTGCTCAAGAGGTAATTCTCCGTTGCGTCCACATCGCCTCATTTGCGTATGTGCAAATACTTATCCTTCCTTGTCCCTTAGTGCATACATCTGGTTTCCACCTATCTCAAGTTTTTTCTTCACTGCTTCGACGCTTCCTCCGTTCTTCAAGGTATATTCAATTCTCTCCATGTCATACTTTCTTACAACGGATACCTCACGCTTATTAATCAACTTTGAAAGCTCTATGAACTCGAATTTGTGTGTTGTACTTGAGGCTTTCATGCTTTGACGCTTTTAATGAGATTCTTCGTTTCCTGGGAAAGCTTGCCAGTGTCCTGTCTTACTACCCTGCCTCCAACTTCAACTGCACACTCCATAATGTTACTCGTCAGATTATCATTCATTGTATCTATGCTAAGGTTGCTTTCCTCACTAAGAGCCGAGTACCTGTTCTGAAGCGAGACTCTGAATTCCTGTACTTTCCCTCTCAGTGTTAGCTCATTGATTGGCTTCTTGCGTATGAGTTTCTGTCGTTCCTTTTTCAAGTCTAGGTGAATTCGAGACCGTACCATTCTATGGTCACTGCATCGTACCTTGCCGAGCACTTCCACATGCTGCACGATGCCAGGGTGTGCACTCAGTATAAAGTATATTTCGTTCTTATTTTCGCCATTAGGGCTCCGCGATGTCCACTTACGGTTCCCTTGCATTTGGTAGAAGGTATTAAAAATGCGTGAATTATTGCGTCCTGCGAATTCTACTAGTAGCTCCCCTCTGGAATTTCTAGTACCGATGCTATAGTCTCCTACTGCCTGGTCTCCAGCCTGTTTCTTCCCTACTTTTGCATTGAAGTCTCTCATCAGTATAGTAAACTGTGTTTTTACCTTACTCATTGCCGATTCCACGTCTTCATAGAAGCTTTCAGCTGACGCGTCATCATGGCTGGACGTAGGTGCATAAGCCTGTACGACGTTCATCTTGTATCTCTTATTGAGTTTATTTGCAATACCTACCACTCTTTTACTAATGCTATAGTATTCCTCAATGTTGGCAGCTATGTTTTTGTGGATAAAGAACCTCCACTCTCAGTTATCTTCTTTCAGCCAAGTCCCGATAATAAAGGACGTGCCCATTCCGTAGCACTGTATAGGCCTCATCTGTCCTCCTAACCTCACTGAGCCTTATTACATTCTAATTAATGCCCTCTAGCACTTCAAATAGTACAGCTACATTTCCCTCCCTAGATAAGGTTCTAGCGTTAAACATTCCCAAGTTCGGGTTCCCAATGGCGGCCTGTCCGGATCCAGAGATTCTTAGCACCCCCTGCTGCGTTGAAGATCTGATCACAGATCTACTGCGATGCAGACCTGAATTTTATCATCCTATCCATATTGGTAGTTTTTTTCCCTTCCTTGCACTGAGGTACAACTAAGGCAAAGTAAGTACTACTATGGATAGGATAGTAAAATTAGCGGAGGGGTTTTACACAGATTTGTACAGTAGCCAGCGCAAGTACGACCTTAATATAAGAACTAACAGTAACTCAGATGAGACTCCACGAGTAATGATAGAGGTCAGAAAAGCCTTGGAGAGCGTGAAAAGAAGCAAAGCTGCTGGTGAGGATCAGGTAACATCAAATTTGCTGAAAGATGGAGGACAGATTGTGTTAGAAAAACTAGCGACCCTGTTTACGAGGTGTCTCTTGACTGGAAGAGTACCAGAGACTAGGGAGAATGCTAACACCATCCAAATACATAAGAAAGGAGATGACAAAGGCTCGAAGAATCACGGGCCAATCAACTTGCTCTCCGTTCTATACAAGGTTAAAAAGGTAATTTCTAGCAGAATTAAGACAACATTAGAATTCAATCAACCAAAAGAACAAGCAGGATTTCGAACAGGCTACTCAACAATCGACCACATTTACACTATCAATCAGGTATACAAAAACAAGCATACATAAACATGGTAGAAGAAATCTGTGGGCTCAGCTGCTACCATAGTGCTTCATAAAAAATCTACAGATTATCATTCATTGTATCTATGCTAAGGTTGCTTTCCTCACTAAGAGCCGAGTACCTGTTCTGAAGCGAGACTCTGAATTCCTGTACTTTCCCTCTCAGTGTTAGCTCATTGATTGGCTTCTTGCGTATGAGTTTCTGTCGTTCCTTTTTCAAGTCTAGGTGAATTCGAGACCGTACCATTCTATGGTCACTGCATCGTACCTTGCCGAGCACTTCCACATGCTGTACGATGCCAGGTTGTGCACTCAGTATAAAGTATATTTCGTTCTTATTTTCGCCATTAGGGCTCCGCGATGTCCACTTACGGTTCCCTTGCATTTGGTAGAAGGTATTAAAAATGCGTGAATTATTGCGTCCTGCGAATTCTACTAGTAGCTCCCCTCTGGAATTTCTAGTACCGATGCTATAGTCTCCTACTGCCTGGTCTCCAGCCTGTTTCTTCCCTACTTTTGCATTGAAGTCTCTCATCAGTATAGTAAACTGTGTTTTTACCTTACTCATTGCCGATTCCACGTCTTCATAGAAGCTTTCAGCTGACGCGTCATCATGGCTGGACGTAGGTGCATAAGCCTGTACGACGTTCATCTTGTATCTCTTATTGAGTTTATTTGCAATACCTACCACTCTTTTACTAATGCTATAGTATTCCTCAATGTTGGCAGCTATGTTTTTGTGGATAAAGAACCCCACTCTCAGTTATCTTCTTTCAGCCAAGTCCCGATAATAAAGGACGTGCCCATTCCGTAGCACTGTATAGACCTCATCTGTCCTCCTAACCTCACTGAGCCTTATTACATTCTAATTAATGCCCTCTAGCACTTCAAATAGTACAGCTACATTTCCCTCCCTAGGTAAGGTTCTAGCGTTAAACATTGCCAAGTTCGGGTTCCCAATGGCGGCCTGTCCGGATCCAGAGATTCTTAGCACCCCCTGCTGCGTTGAAGATCTGATCACAGATCTACTGCGATGCAGACCTGAATTTTACCATCCTATCCATATTGGTAGTTTTTTTTCCTTCCTTGCACTAAGGTACAACTAAGGCAAAGTAAGTACTATTATGGATAGGATAGTAAAATTAGCGGAGGGGTTTTACAGAGATTTGTACAGTAGCCAGCGCAAATACGACCTTAATATAAGAACTAGCAGTAACTCAGATGAGACTCCACGAGTAATGATAGAAGTCAGAAAAGCCTTGGAGAGCGTGAAAAGAAGCAAAGCTGCTGGTGAGGATCAGGTAACATCAAATTTGCTGAAAGATGGAGGACAGATTGTGTTAGAAAAACTAGCGACCCTGTTTACGAGGTGTCTCTTGACTGGAAGAGTACCAGAGACTAGGGAGAATGCTAACACCATCCAAATACATAAGAAAGGAGATGACAAAGGCTCGAAGAATCACGGGCCAATCAACTTGCTCTCCGTTCTATACAAGGTTAAAAAGGTAATTTCTAGCAGAATTAAGACAACATTAGAATTCAATCAACCAAAAGAACAAGCAGGATTTCGAACAGGCTACTCAACAATCGACCACATTTACACTATCAATCAGGTATACAAAAACAAGCATACATAAACATGGTAGAAGAAATCTGTGGGCATCAGCTGCTACCATAGTGCTTCATAAAAAATCTACAGATTATCAATCAAGAAGGGTGTAATGCTGAGGGATACCATTTCCTTGATGCCATTTACCGCGTGCTTACAAGAGGTTTTCAGAGGCCTAGAATCATGAGATTTAGGGAAAATAGTTAAAGGAGAGTACCTTAGTAACATATGCTTCACCGACGACATTGGACTGGTGAGTAAGTCAGGGGACGAATTGCAACTCATGATTACGGAGTTAAGACAAGGAGAACAGAAAGGTAGGCCTTAGAGTTAATCTGTAGAAAACAAAAGTAATGTACAAAAACCTTGGAAGAGAACAGCGCTTCGAGATAGGTAATTGTGCACTAGAAGTTATAAGAGACTATGTCTACTTAGGTCAGGTAATAATTACCACGGAGCCGCATCATGAGATTCAAGTAACTGGAATAATAAGATTGGTGTGGAGCACCATTGGCAAGCACTCTCAAATCTTGACAGGTAGATTACCACTATCCTTCAAGAGCAAGGTATGTAACATATGCATATTGCCGGTACTTAACCACAGATAAGAGACTTGGAGGCTTACAGACAGGGTTCAGCTTAAATTGAGGACGACGCTGTGAGCGATCGAAAGGAAAATGGTAGGTGTAACCTTAAGAGACAAGAAGAGAGCAAAATGTATCAGGGAACAAACTGGTGTTAAGGATGTTGAAGTTAAAATCAAAAACAGAAAATGAAAATGGGCTTGGCATATAGCGCTTAGACAGGATAACAGCTGGTCATTAAAGGTTACTAACTGGATAGCCAGAGAAGGCAAGTGGGTTAGGGGCAGACAGAAGGTTAGGTCGGCAAATGAGATTAAGAAGTTTGCGGGTATAAATTAGCAGCAGCAAGCAGAGGACCGAGTTGACTGGCGGAACATGGGAGAGGCCTTTGTCCTGCAAAGAATATAGTCAGACTTTGTATTTTTCAAGGTGAAAAAGTCTGAGAGCTTTATTCTCTTCCGCATTAAATGAAAAACCATGTGAAAGGAATAAGAAACCAAATAGTAATCCCTATTTTGACGCAGT